TGGCCAGTGGCAGGTCCCTCTTGGAGCTGGCTGGCATTGACTCACAGAAGCCACCCCTGTAGCCCTGCCACAACCAAAACCTTGCCGCACAAACGCAATACAAACCACTATGTAAGTTCTCCTCCGCTGTCCTATTTCCAAGCGATTTGCAGCACATGGAAAGAACTGCTTAGGCAAGAAAGGTGCAAGTAGATCGGGCTCAAAGACTTTTTTTTCTTTTTCAGACAAAATTCAGGCATATTTAGTGCAAAAAGAATAAGGCTAGTATTTGACTGTAAACAAAATAGAAGCCCAGCCCATGAGCTCTGTACTGGCTGTTGTGGAAAAGTGTCTGAGCTTAGGGAGGTGCTGCAGCTCTAACCAGTGGAACAACTGGTCTTTGTCTTTTGCCAGACTGGGAGTCCAAGGATTTGTTTTGAAAATCAGAGTGACGTAGTACAGCTCTTGCAGGAACTTAGCCCTCCACCATTTGGCCAGCAGCTCGAGTGCATTGTCTGAAGTGTTTGTGGTTTATGGGGAACGAGTTGAGTTACATGACTTTGCCCACAGCTGTATCATGTATGAAAGGAAGTGAACATCACAAGTATTGACATTTATTATAATGGGGACTATGCTGCCTTGGTGATACCATAAAGGAGAGTAAAAGTACAGCTTCTGGCCATGCTCTAAAACTCATCTCTCACCTTAGTGTACCAGCTTGATTACGTGGCCAAGTGCAGTGCAGGATCCCATTCTGTAAGGAGATTATCCATAGCCTGAGGGACATTGTGAAACATGACCAAAAATGTAGGCAGATACTCCTTGGTATTGACTGATGTGGCTTTTCCAGTACCGTAGCAGAGGGGCATATTTGGGGGGGGAAGAGGGTGTGTCCAGCCTCGTGATAAATAACTTTGCATCCATTGCGTCTGTGGAAAACAAAGATGGGGTAAGAGGAGGCATGCGTTATGGGTATGGAGAGTCAGGGTGATGGAAAATAAGGTATATGCTGTGGGTGATGGCTTTTGTAAGTATGGTAAACAGCAATGCCGTGAGTGGGTTTTGTGCCACAAACTGCTCTTTGCCCTCATCCTGGCAGCGATGGGTTGTTTGGAATGGCAAACTTGGGGTGGGTTGGCCATCAGTTAATTTTGGGTGGAGGAACAATAGATCGCAAAAGGGGAGTGTTGGCTCTGGGTAACAAATACACATACGCTTCTGAGGGCACCACATGGTACAGAACGTACTGGTTAAATGTCCTCTGACCAAGTGTCAAATGCCTGTTCTGTAACTAGTGGTGGGATGAAACAGAATGTTGTGTTATTTGTCCTGTCTCATTACAGAATATCTCCCACATATGTGGTTTATGTGGGATTTTTAGCTGTTGCACAGGGTATAGTATACCTATTACTCTTAATTGCCACATTCTGCCAGGTCCCCTCTTTTTGGAAGCTAAAGTCAGTGTCTCTTGTACGTTTCCTGATTAGACCAGTATAAATCCCTCACAAAACTACTACGTAGGACCTCTGCCCTGCCAGTTCTAGTACCCTCATCCACATGCCCAGTCCAGTTTTTCTTCTCAATTTTGGAAGAAATGTTAATGAAGCTTGAGGTTCTGGGATGTCTTTCTCAAAAATCACCAGTAGGCTTGAACTACAGCTACACTAGGAGTCCACTGAGTGCCATTTCGTAGGAAATCTCAGGCTCAGAAAGGATTAACAAGTACTGTGGCCTGGCTTGCCTTCTGCTGCTGTGTAAGAATGGCCCTGGTACCAGTTCAGGGTTTGGGGGATTTTTTTTTTCTTTTTTTTTTTCTCCCTGTTATGATTCTCATTTAGTTTGTCCTGGAATGGTTCTTGTATGCACAATTTTGTTCCCCTGTTCTGTCAGTCTTTTCAGAAATGGGGGTCTGTTTTGTGCAAGTTTCATACAAAGATGGTCAGGGTTGATGCCAGGCAACGATGATTGGCATTAAGGGGTGGCCTGACACTGTGCGTGGATTGGTGAAGATGTGGCACATGCTTGGAGTAGCTCAATCCCACTTTTCCAAGAGTGGTTCACATTGAAACTGAGTTGAAGCGTGTTCTGAGCTTAGATTTTTGTCCTGGGATTCAGCTGGCACATCCAGATCTGTAAGTGGTTTGAAAAGGACTCCGGTGTAAGCTTCAGCTAACATAGCGCTGTAGCTATAACCACAGAAAATAGTTGGCATATCATTATCATGAACTCTTTTCTTATAAATTCTCCTGAGTGGATTGCTAATAAGTATACTCCCTTTTGGGAGCGGGGGACTTTTTTTTTTTTTTAAGAAACCTAAATTTCACTTGAGAGTCCCCTTGTTAAAGGGGTCCCTTCTGCTATTAATGGGTGGTGAAAAGGCAACAGGTAGGACTGTGTTGTCTTTTATAGTTGTGCTATTCTGTTGGCTCTCATATCCATTAGCACTAGGGAGGTAAAACCCTTGGAATTTGTTCAGTGACAGTCTGTAGATTCTTTTTGTTTCACCTTCTTGCAGGTGAAAAAGGAATTGGCAAAACAACTGGAAAGAAGCTGTGTTACAAAGGCACTACATTCCATCGTGTGGTTAAAAACTTCATGATTCAGGGTGGGGACTTCAGCGAAGGTAAAATACACTTTTAAAACTGAAATGTTTTAAATGGAACAGAAATGCTATAACTTATGTGGTTATAATGCAACTTTAGAAGATGCTGTGAAAGCATTACAATGCCATAAAAATATTTTATTTGCTGTGAAGTATAGCATAGGTCACCCATTTCTTTGTTAATTTTTGAAATTCTGAAATGTTTCAACTGAAGTAATATTTCTTTAAAAAATTGTGTTAAGAAGAAAAACCCTTGTTGGAGCTGATAACGCCTACCTTATTAAAACAATTCAAATCCGAACTGTAGTTTTAACTGCTTTTCATTTTTGTGTCTGCAGTAGAGGCAACACTAGTAATGCTCTGTTGGTACAGTGACATAACTGTTTGAATAAGTTTAAAAATAATAATAAAGTAGTAAATGAGCTAGAAGTGTTTAATGGATAAGTCTCTAAAAGGAAATTTTTTCCAAGGAGTTCTTGTTTCCTTCCCTGCAGTATGTGTACAACATAATGTTTCAGCCTGTTGTCCTTCCCTGAAATACCCATCCTTACCAAAATGTGTGTCCTGAAATCTTGTACCTGATAAAATGGGTGTGGTGAGGGAATACCTTGTTTTGAGAATCAAGTAGAAGTAAGGAGGCCTTTAAAACTGCTAGCTACTTTCTTATCCATTCTAGTCATGTGTCAGCTGCTTTGAGCCAGGCAAGATTGTTGGTCATACCTACAGTTGTCTTTTTTGGGTTTTTTTAGCTTGCTGTTGTTTTTCTGTCTGCTGGTGCTTTAGCAAATACCAGTGAGGATTAGCCTTTGGACTTCCCAGTGTTCAGAGGCACTAAGGCACTCTTCATTCTCAATATTTTGAGGTTCAACAGTATAATGCATGGCTATGGCTTTTAATCAAGGAGCTTATGTTCAGATACTAATAACTGGCCAGAGTATCCTGGTTTGTTATGAACAACATATGGAATGTTACATACAGCTTTTTTCATAAATGAAACAAAAGGTTTAATTCATGCTTTTTAATGCGTAGGTAATGGAAAAGGAGGTGAATCTATTTATGGTGGCTATTTTAAAGGTAAGAGGAAATATGTCTTTGCAGATTCTTACTCAGTTCTGAGATAAGTCTTGATTCCCAAGCTACTTAATGAAAACAGGTCTACTTATAGATCACCTTTTGCATGAAACTAATGTTGCATGAGAATTCTTTTTATATGCATGACTTTCAGATAATTTTTTTGGTAATATTTAACTTTAACTGACAATTAATTAAGGCTAACATTATTGGTTAAACATGACTTTCAGCATGGAGGTTAGGCAACTTTATTCATGAATAAACTCCTATCTTCCTGCCTAAAACTGTCAACATATTCTTTTGTTTATAGAGAATGTGGTCTTTTGCAAAATGAAAAGGTAAGAGACAAAAGCTCAGTAACACAAATTCAAACTCTGTTCCCTTGTACCCTCCCTAGTAAATATATAGACAACTGATACGTCCGTTTGTAGATGGATATCTGTGTTGCTTGGAGAAATGGAAGAGTTCTGTGTCTAACCTTTCTGAGGGTTAATGACTTATTCTGAGAAAGAATACTGGCATAATTTCCAGCTCTAAACAGTTATTTCTTCTTTTGTTAATGTCCCTTTCCTCCCCTTCCCTATTCAAGGTTTGTATGCTTAGTGTTCATTTCTGAAAGTGTTTGACTTTGTTTATATGCTACACAAGTTATTTGATTTGCAAAGAATTTGTAAATAAATGTACATTTACCTCTTTTTAAAATCTATGGTTGGAAGGAAAATGGTGAGTTTATAAAGTATTTGTTTAAAGACATACAATTCTTTCTTGCAAAAAAATGGGTAGTTACTGTGGTATTCAAGTGTTAATAAAGTTACTGTATGTATTTATGTAACAGCCCCAATTCTGTATGTTTTGCAAGCAGCTCTGCGTGGTTAAGTGCATGCCATGAAGTTTGTCTTAAAACAGAGACATAGTTTGGTGTTGGGAGTATTACAGCCTTTAGTCAAAAGAAAGTCTTGAATAGATCCATTTGCTTAAGAAGTTACTAAGGTTTGTTTCTAAAGGCAGTGAGTGCTAAACATGCAGCATTGCGTTTTGATATGTAATCTTAAAACCAGGTTTGTACACACAAATTACTATTTCTAGCTTTGAAAATGAACTTCAGAAGATCTGGGTTTATATTATGCTGTACAACCGGAAGTCCTCTTTAATTCACTGGAATATAAAATGCATGTTTAGTTTAGTCTTAATTGATTTTATATTTAGGTTGCAGGAATAATACTTTCTTAGTTCCTCATTCAGGTATCTGGGTTTTTTCTCCCTTGTACGTTTGGAGACTTCCAGTTTTGAATGGATAGGTGGCTATCTTTTAACATGCCATACCAGGGAAATGGCTTTTTCTCTAGATCTTTTTACCTGAGGTGCATGCTGTGTAAATAACAGTATCATGTATGTTAAGTCTTGGTTTAGGATATCAGTAGGTCTTCCAACCTTGTTCTTACTCTGAAAATGCTGGATTTAAATCCAACTCTATGAGAATCTGATGTTTATTGAAGATACTAAAAATAACTTTAAATTTCTTTCATTAGAAATGTTTGCACTATATGTGAAACTTTTTCTTTAAGAAAGAATGCTTTCTGTCTCATAACTGCTTCTATTGTAACTTTCGAGAGGCTTGTTTCAACTTGATTTTTGGTTTTTTTCCAACCCCTTCATGTTTCTTCAGCAGCAGCAGAATTTCTCCTTAAAGCATCCATAAGTTACTAAGAAAATTAGAGTTGCATTACTTGTCAGGGAAAATCTGACAAACATATTTTTTCTTCAAACAGATGAAAACTTTATTCTCAAACATGACAGAGCGTTCCTTTTGTCAATGGCAAACCGAGGGAAACATACCAATGGTTCCCAATTTTTCATGTGAGTAGATGTAACACGACAGTTGAGCTTTTCTTGAACAGAGAAGCGCTGTTCATGAGAAAGATGGTATTGCTAAATTATCTATAACAATGTTATCCGCCTTATTTTAAATAGGCTTGAGTGGGTACCTGCAGTGTAAGCTATTATAGGAAACATTAGTTACCAGAATTTGCTTGTTTCATTTGGATTAGAAGCTGGTACTCCATGGATGTTCCTTGTTCATTGCTTTTTACCCTAAAAATATGGCTTGTGCAGTTCTTAGTGTCCAGAAAATAGATTCTTTGGCTTTGTGTGTGCACCAACCAAATCTTAACAGATTATCTGCAAATTACAGTGTTGAGCTTTGTATGCAAAAGGGAGTGAGATCTAGAGGTGGTTTGTATGGTTTTGCATGTGCTCTTTAAAATATGATGATTTATGATTTAGTTTTGGGGGAGGGATGGGAGGGAGGATGAGTTGGTTTTGTTTATTGTTTTGGGGGTTTTAATTTTTAAATTTTTTTTATTTTGGAGTGTTTGTTCCTGACATGCTTTTCTTCTATATTACTGCATAGTTGTTTACTTATGCATATACCAACTCCTTTGGTACCAACACTATATAAAATTATGTGCCGATAATCAGATTTTTCTTTAATTACCTTAAAAAAAAATCCATTCTAGTATGTAGACGGTTCTGTTAAATTGTAGAAAACATGTGACTCTCTACCATCAATAAATACTCAGGTCTGATATGTCAGGGTCTTCTGGTTAAAGTAGTTGTAGTCTAGGTTCAGTTTTAGTATTTTTAAACTTACTGATTTTTATGTGACTATTCCTCTTGTTAAATCCCTTTTAAAAGTTGCCTTCTGTTAATGTTTAACAAGTTTGTATTTGGAAAGATCTGGATTATAATTTGGGGCTTGTGCTGAGAAGAACTTTGTGAAATAACACTGGAGTTTTCAAAAGTAAATTTTAATGTAGTTAACTAGAAAAACTTTTTTCTTTGCCATCTTTCTTGGGGGATAAGAATGAATGGCGCTTCACTGTCTTCAGTAAAGGAGTAAATTGTCCTCAAGAATCTTTCTTTTTTTCTTTGCCTGAAAAAGATCTTCAGTATGATATGATGAAGTTCAGATAAGAGGCATTTTTAGGTCTTTTCCTAAAGAATGCCCTAAAAATGGAAAATTAATAGGAACCTAAGAGGAAGTCTTTCACAGTTGCTGCTGTTCTGACTTTCCATAGAGATAAAATCATCAGTGTCAAAAGCTTGTTTACTGTTACCTTCAAACAAAGTTTTAGATGTTGTGCTTGCTTACAGTAAATCTGAATGGATATGTAGAGACATTAGTATGGTAAACAATCACTATATTAAAAAACCCCAACCCTGTGGTTTAATAAGCTCTCTAAAAGACATTGGTTCACTGTTTGCTACTTGGTGACTTATCTTTTGGTTCTCCTGTCATAGTTTTCCATTTTTAAGCTTATCTGAACAATACACATGAAAACTTAATGATGTCACATCAGTCAAGAAGCTATCATTTGAGGGCTCTAAAGTTTCTTTTCTTTCCTGCATTTGATTCAGAAGTCGTCTTCTTTCCCTTATGCTTCGTAGACTCAGCTTACTTGTTCAATTAGATTTAACAGGCATAAACACCTTACCTGTCCCCGCACACCAAAACAACCTAAGGTTGTGTTGGATGCTAAATTATAATTTACATGGGACAATAAAGTGAACAGTATTTAAGAGCACTTGCATCAAATACGGAAGTATTTTGAGAGATGCAGATTTCTTGAAAAATTCTGTTTTTTCATAAAATCACTGTAAAGAGAAAGTGTTGGTTTGGTGGGAATTCAGGCAGAGTAAGATACCTAAACATAATTGTCGCCGTGTAGGCTAGATTCACCTCAGCTGCCTGGAGGTATCTAAAGCCATTTTTAGGCTCCTACCTGGCCTTCAGCTGCTGGCAGAGAAGGACGTGGATGTTCTGAAGGTCTTGTGTCTTGCCTGCCCCATGCAGATTTCTTGGATATCCTGTAATGTCTTAAATGGCACCAGCTTGCCCTACAGTCAGCCAAGTGAATCAAGCCCAGGAGTTAAACTCCCAGTATAACCAGTGAGGGTTAGGTGGGCTGCTGTCTAAGTCTTTAAAGCATGCTCTAATGCTCTAGGCTTCTGTGACCCTCTTGACTGGGGCTTTTTTTGTTTTACCTCATGCAGATATCTAATGCTGTTTGAGACACCATTGGGAACTTCAAGACAGTGAGTGCAAATAGGATGTAGCACCTGCAAGACACCCTGCACTCCTGGAGTAGCAGCTGGAAGCCAGGCAGGATACAGTAGGGCAGCTAAAGATGCCTGTACATTGGCAATTGAGCGTTCTCCCTAGATCTGACCAGCAGCTGAGATGCTTACCTCACTTGCAGATGCCTTTGCTATATTCAAGTATATGCATTTAAGCTGAATCCCACCTTAGGCCTCCAGTACTGCAGCCAGTCCTGGGAATGAATACATACAATTACAGAATCTGTACAGAAGCCACTGGGGCTGCTTGTAAAGGCGTGTGTTTACGTATACAGGCAGTTGTAAAGTCAGGTTTGTGTTTGATAGCTCAGTTTACGAATAGCCAAGGATGGATGGTGAAATGCATAGTTCAACAATCTGTCTTTTTGTACAGATTTTTTTAATGGTGGAACTTGTTTTCTGCTTCATAACATGGAGAGTTTGAATTTCAAGATTCAAAGTAGGAAACAAGTGCTAAAGATTTTATCTAGGCAGTTTCTGACAACTTTTAAAATGCAATATATTAAAGCAGTTAGTCTTGCTTGGTGACAGTTGTCTGATTACTTCAGGGAATGTACTGTGCATCTATACAGCTTTTCTTTAATAAAATGTTTGCTTCCTTTAGTGATATATTTTAAGCTGAAATTAAAACGTGTTTCTTACACTCAAAAGAATGCTCAGTTATTCAGTAGTTTATCATTAGGAAAAATGTTCTTCAAATGTATACCCTGAAAATTGTGTGAAAGGCAGTCTTCAGTGGCAGCCTTTAGACTTCTTTAATGGTTTGAACATGTTTAATTTTATTGATTAGATTCATAGAAGGGGAGATAGTTCATCTCCATCTGAACTTCTTTAGACCTCTGTTTGCATTTTATTTTTTCATCAATAACTTCAGGGATGAGAACTCTGTATTTCTCTCTCGTACACATCTAATGTAGCAGATAAGGAGTGCAAATAAGTTGTTTTCTTTTATGTAAGTATTTGTCCAAGTAGGGCTAAAATAATAGCAAGAATCCTGACTAGAACAGTTTTGCGTATTCATCAGAAGTGCTTTCCCTGCTTAGAACAGATAAGTGTCATTTGGAGTAACTAGTCTTTACAGAAAGTAATCAGGCAGTGAAGAGCTCTTTGGCAGACAGCACTAACTGGTCACAACAAGACTCTATGCAATGTCTAAAAATTGTTAGAAGTTGAGCTACAGTTCTCAGTTTTACTTGAGATAGAAGCTTCAGCCTAATCTTAATGTAAACAAGCATCTGACCAATCCTTTGATTCATCAGGAATTTCTCTGGCACAAATGAGCTTGAAGCATTTATAAGCAACAATAGGGAACTGGGCATAGAAAAGGCAGTGTAAATACCCTTAGGAAGCTCCGGTGGGGCCAGTGTAAAAAGAAAGAACGTAAATTAAAGCCCTGGTAGAAACTGGCAAGATGCAAAAGTAGAATGAAAAGTCAAAAGTATATTATATATATGTCAGAAGTGCTGTGTTTAATGCTTGTTGACTAATTTTCCCCAATTTTTTATTTATTTTATTTTACTTACTTGACTAGTAACAGCTGGGTTGAAAGAAGAATGTTTAGCTAAGGAAGGATTATGGTTTTTGTGCACACACGCTTTAAATAGGCCAAGTCTATTCACACATGTGTCTTAAGAAACTTTTCCTAGTCTGAAGAAATGTATCTTGTTGAAATCCAGCAGAAAGGATGCAGAGGCCATCCCTTTATAATGTTTGTATTTGTGAAATACTGGAATTTCAATTTTCTTTACCCAAAGGGATCTGTTGTAGCATTTTATTGCGGACTTGTGTTGAAGATAGTTGTAAGGCACCAGGTTATAAATTGGTTATTTGTATTTTCAGATAGCACCACTATTTAATTTGATTATTTTCTGTTAATAACTTCTATTAGAACCATCAGTTATTTAGCAAGTGTTCTAAACACTACCTTAGTGTGCTAACCTTCTTTTAATTGTCCTGTTTCTATGTTGAGACTCAGATATGGAATCCTTAGGATGGGGTAGAGGTTGACAGGAACTACTCTAGAATCATCTTCCTTTTTCTGTATACTCCAATATCTGTTTTGAACTGCTGCCAAAAAGATTATTATAATTAAAGTTATTGGGGCAGTGCATCTAGAGCACTGGACAAATATAGCTCATGTCTTTAGGTCCCTGATTAAGAGTTGGGGGGAATAGTCGGCCTGTTCTCGGATGTTGCAGCTCAGTGGCTGTATTACTTGTTGGGTGATGTTCTTCTTGAGCAACATATTCTGCTTCTCAGTCAGGCTGATCTGATAATGGTATCTTGTCTCTTTAGAGCAACTCCATCATGCATGTCGCCATATCCAACCTGCTAGTAAGGACAGTTGCAATATAAAATAAGTGCAACTCTTGCGAAAATAAGTATATAAAGTACTATAAAATTAATGAGACTCCTGATCGTACAAATGCTTGCATGGGCTTAACTTTGCTTCCATTGTCATACAAAATCTGTCAAGCTATGCTTACTAGGAAAGTAGAAGTGCCTGTGCAGAGTGAAGCATAAAGAAAACAATAGAAGGCAAAAAAAAAAAAAAAAGCCAACCCCTTTGTTGTCATTGGGATGTTTTGTGTAACAATTAATTTAATGCCTTGTTATTTAGTCATGTAGTTTACTGAGGAATACATCCTTATTACAACTTAAAGAGGAGTCGTAGGTTGTGTTCCTTATCAGTTCAAATGCCTGGAGTTCTTGCCTCTGTGTTCAGAAGCTATGTAAAACTTGAGGCTGTTTTGCTATTACTGCTAGATATTTTTTTTTTTCCATATTGAGGGTATTGTTGGTTTAACGTGTCTCGAGCTCTGCTTTCTTGCTCAAAACTAAATAGCTTTTTTTGTCTTAAAAATGTTTTTATTGTGTGGTGCCATGCCTAGTTACTAAATTCAAACAAACTAGCCACTTTGATCTGCTAAATGAAGGATTAAATAAATTGTGAGGACTCTTTTGTTTTGATTATACAAATGATTTCTGAATGTTACTAGCTTATTAAGTGGTTCATTTCTAAGTCTTTTTGGTGTCCCAAAACAGGTATTTTTCTAATTAACAGTTAATTTTTTTTTTTACTGTGACTGAAATACCTTTGAGCTAATCATTGAACAGTTGACAGTAATATAAAGATCTAAAAATTTCAGAGAGAGAGGCTGATGTTGCATTATCTCTGAGCAAAAGTGATATACATGCACTTATCACACAAGCGGGTCCATTGGCTTGATCAAAAGTTTATGTAAAAGCATAGCCCATGTGAAAGTATTCACAGGATGCTTTTATGTGTAACAAGTAACAAAGAGATCATTTCTACGCTCAAATATGCAGAGACACAAGTAAGAACTAATAGTTTATTTGGGGGGAAAAATATGGATAAGCTCAACTGATAATGCATTTTTAAAACATTGCTGCTGTTCAGAATTATACGAGAGCAAAAATATGGTATAAGCTGATGCATATGTTTTGTCTTTTTTCATCTGCAATGTTTTTGTTTTTCTATAATTCTGAACAGAAGTAGTGAAATAGCAGTGCCCATATTCTAAAGAAAACAGCCATTTTTCTTAGTTTTAGAAAAATTTCATCATACAAGGAAGGTGTCAGCTAGTTATGAAATGTATGAAGTTGTAGACTTAATAACTTAACACATTTGTAAATCAAAACATTTAAGCTATGGTGTGCCATTCTATGAAGTTTTTACTTAGGACTGGATTCAGTAGAGCATTTGAACACTTCTGTAACTGCAAGCATGTGAATAAACCCACTGGAATCAGTTATTCATCTGCTTAAAGTTGTGCATGTGTTCTAACACTTTTGCTGGATTGAGACTTAGAGGGAAGTGGGAGGATTCTCTTTTCTAACCGTTTATCTTTGTAATAGCGTATGCAAGCAGGTTATGTCTATAGGTTTCTTTTTTTGTTTTTAAGGAGAAGTTACTGTAGTTTTCAAAGTACCTTGTATTCTAAAGAAAATTTAGAGCCCTCTTTTAGGCATCCTTGTTCTGCATACAACTTGATTAATATTAATTTTAAACTTGTATTTAATAAAACATAGACTCAGTTTTGTCTGAAAATGTATTACAATTTATTTCTGCCATTTTTGTGTAAAATTTACAGAAACAGTGTTACATCGTGCGCTCCAAAGGTAATGTCTCATTCCTCTAAGGCTGTGTCCTTTCCTTTTCTTCTTTCTGTTTTTATCTATCTTGTTTTTTCTGATCATATTGTTATGTGCATTGAATCCTTTGTTAGGACGGAGGTTCTTGGGGGGGTGGGTGATAACATGATTTTATCAAAAAGATGCTTTTCTCTTCAGCAGTATCTTAAATCAATTTACTTTAAACTTGAGTGAAGAAAGGTATTTGTCCTTCTGTAAATAACTTGGATAATAGTATATATTATAAGGCAGATTTTGAACATTTTAAATTACAAAAGTTCTGTATAGAAATGTTTTAATAAAATATTATTTTGGGGGGAGGAACTCATCATGACTCTAGGTACCTGTAGTGCAAAGGCAGTAAGTAGGTTTTCTCCTGATTAAGTTTGGGCGCCAAAGCAAATGTTCAAGGACTGAAAGGCAGAACATATGCAGAGAACTTTGAAGTGGTCTTCTAAAGTGCATGCTTGCAGAATAAATGTCATGTTACAACCCTAACATTGAGATGACAAAACTTTCAAAAGCGCAATGAGGAGTTGGGTTTCTGCTTCCTGTAGGAAGTCTGTTAAGTCACCTAACTCCTTGCCATGCATCTGAAAAGTTTTCTTTTTGGATAATGCTTTTCCTTGTGTTTTTCACTTCATGAACAAGTAAATGAGAAAAACCCTATCCATTTTATCTATCAAATTGCCAGTGTAATGAGAGAAACTTCTACCTGGGTTTTAATGTACCAACTATCCCTTTCTTTGCTTATTGAGGACTAGTCTAAAGAAAGTACATGCTTAGGTAATTTGTTCAATTGGTCTTCAAGTGCTGCTGCTGCATGGCAGAAGCACATTACTACAGCATTCATATCAAGTGTGTTTGAACCTATTGCTGTTTCTAGCTAATTCTAAGCATTAAGTCTTGTTTATTATTGGTTTCATTGAAGTAACCCACTTCTATTTTTTCACTACTTTAAATCAGCTTTATAATTAAGCCCGCATAAACTGTTTACTTAACAGCAGGTTGTTAATGCAGCTCACTTTGGCTTAAAGAACTTCAAAAGCTGTAAGAATTTTTCTGTTTGTAGCAATATGCTGTATTAGCAAGGGAAAACCAAAGAACACCCCCTACGATTGAGAAATTAAATGTTGTCTTGATAGCATTTCTTGCCCTGTGTTAAACCAAAGAATTTTTCTCTATTATTCAGTATTACAGAATTGGAAGGTCTGGTTGGCATTTGGAGCTTAAAAAAAATCAAGAGTGTAAACACTCCTGATTCACAGTTCCATCTTTTGGCATGCGTTCCAGCACTGCAGTGTTTTGTGACCTAGTAGTTCAAAACTCAAGTAAAGATATGTGCTTAAAAAGTAGTATCTTATCATAGCAGTGAAAGCGTAACTTCATTGTACCACATCTGTGTTATTGTAAATTTAGAAAAAGCATCTGTGATTGATTATTTATTTTGAGAGAGGGGAGTTCATTGGAAGAAGGCTAGAAAGGCAAAATAGTGCCTGGGGAGGAGAGAGGAAGAATGTTTTCAATATTAAAATAATTTCAAATGCAAATTATCTTGACTTCTGGTTTTTTTTCTTCCCCAATATATAAGATTAATGCAAGTTCTGATGTTCCGTACTGAATTTGTCTGCATAGTAAGGTTCCCTGTGCAACATTATGCAGGCTTTCTTGTAGAAGTAATTTCCTTTCTTTTTTTGGAAAAGGATATAGAGAGATACCAGGTCATAGCATTATCATCAGAAAGGTGAATCTTAACATATAATTATATATGCACAACCTTGAATATTCTAATTCAAAGTCAGCTCAGAAATTTGGCATAACTCCAAATACCTTTTAGGATAGTGTGCAAAATGTAATGCAGTTGCATTTCTCCTTCAGGCTAGAAACAGCTAAATGTGGGAAGCTGAAAAATAGGGAGGAAGTCCGCATTTATTACAGAAGTCAGCTGTAGGGTTAGCATATAATGTCTGCTTGCATTGTGCTGCTGTTGCTTTTGGGAAGCCTGCGAGCTTATGAGCTGGAGTGCTATACTCTTGATGGTTAAAGGTAGAAGTATTGCTTTGTATTCTGAGTTATGAGGCCAATCAAGTAAATGGAGAGTAAGAAAGAAGTGGGGCGGGGGGAGCAAAGTATCTATCACGTATGACAACTTTCTTCTTTTTTTAAATAAACTGACTTTAAAGTGACCTTGTAATATAAGAACTTAACAATTTCAGAAACATATAAATTCAATTAGTTACAATTTGGCAATAAATCTCTCATTAAAAATGTGAGTTATGTTTGAATGTGTATTTAAAGACACTTATTTGAAAATTGTTTACTGCATGCATAAAGTGATACTTGATACAACTTCCAAGTACGCACAGTTAGCTAAATTTCAAGCAAATTTCATGTAAAAGTTTAAAAAAGCTTGTGTGTATAATCTGTAAAGTTTTAAGTCCATGTATGTAACTGGATTTTTTCACTATTTTTTTCTTACCTTCATCTCTTTTTTTTTTTCTGTGCCATTCTCTTCTTTTACTTCATCTGAATCCCTGATTTTATTTTTTTTACCATCTTACCATCTTGCTGTTTGTCAAACAGAACAACAAAACCTGCTCCTCATCTCGATGGGTAAGAATCCTCTACCATTTCTCCAAAGATGGCTAAAATTTGAAGGTTGTAAGTCTTCATGTATTATATTGAAAGTAGACAACAATGGGGAAACCAATTCTTAATTCTGTGAAAGATTATACAATAGAACAAGATGGAAAACAAAAGTTTCAGTTCTATAAAAAATTCAAGTTGCAACTTATTTCCTAAAGCTGGTCAAAAACTTGGAAGGTCTGAAATCCTAACATTATTTCTTTAAAACTGGTTGCTGCGCTGCCCTCAGTCCATAAATCAGTGAGTTGAAATGTCAAGTTTAATGTATTTGGATAGTACTCTTTGTGGCATGTTTTTATCCCCAAAATATATTAGTTCCTGTAAGTGTAAGTTATGGGGCAAATGGAAGAAGGAAAGACAAATGTGGTAGGGTAGAACAAAACTGGGGGGGTTCCTTAATTATAACTGTCCCTGCAATGCCAGTGGGAATTTGTATGCTGAGTTTGTATAGACCTATAAATGCTTCTTCTGTGGGGAAAACTGTACTACTTTGTCATCTTTGTATATGGACTCTTGATCCCTCTATTGCACAAAATTTCAAAAATAGAAGGATGGATTAGAAATGATGATCTGTTTACCCTGACCATGTAGAAGAGAGTAGAATGACCTCAAGTATTTCTCTCAAACTGAACAGGAGTGAACCTCTGTTTCGTCTTGCATGAAAACTTAGAGTTGTTGTAAATGTAAAAAAAAAATGTTATTTTTAAGGTTAATACATTTTTAAGAGCTGAATGTTTCTATTTCAGAATGACTTTTAAAATCTGAAATTCATTGGAAAATAATTACAGCAATATATAAATGTTTGTACTTTCCAAATATTTTATTTCTGCAGTGTACATGTTGTCTTTGGACTGGTTATTTCTGGTTTTGAAGTAATAGAACAAATAGAAAATCTGAAAACTGATACTGCAAGTAGACCCTATGCAGATGTACGAGTTATTGACTGTGGGGTGCTTGTTACAAAATCGGCAAAAGATGGTAAGCATACACATACCTGAAGTTAATTGAACGTTGACATTGTTTTCAGAGAGTATAAAAATGATTGCAGTGTCTAAAAATCATTATGGTAAATCTCTAGAACCTTAATTAATTCTTACAAGCCTTTAAAATTTAAATCTTGGTGTAGGTGAGGAAGGCAAAGCAAGGGGGAAGGTTTTCTGACCTAAACCTTTGTGCCTTGGAAAACGTATGCCTGGTTCCTATTCTCCTTAATTAATGTTTGAGGTTAATCTGACATACTCAAAAAATAATTAGAACTTATTTTTCTGAGTTTAAAAGATGGAGACACAAACATATGCTTTTCTTGAAGTTGAATTTTGTGCAGTTTCCAAAGGTTTATTTTAAGATCATGTAATGTTAATGTATGTGGTATATGTAGTCAACATAATTTTCCTTTTCATGAGAATTCATAGGGAATAAGTTATCTTTAAAATATATTCGGACAGTTGCTGTAAAGTAGTGGAGTGTTATAAGTTTGCGTTTTCTACTTTTGCCTTTCTTTTACGGACATAAATAACCACATTATCCTTAGAGAAAGTCAAGAGGATAGATAATATAAAAGTATGAGGATGCAGAAAGGAGAAATACACAACTGAGGCTGAGACTAACTCTTAAACTTTGTTTTGTAACCTGTGCATTGCTTTCTAAAGAAACTATTTTTCTTTTTTTTACTATAAATGGTGTTGGCTTATTTGTACATTCTATTCGAACCCAAAAGTGTGAATTCAGTGTTATAACCTAAAATACATTTTCAAAGGAGAAAAGGGGAGGAACCCTCCTTCTTAAAACTATACTTATCCTCAACCTTTCTTTATATTAGCTTGGCATAAGTTAATGTTTAGCTTCAGTTATAAACTTACTGTGTATTAATTTAAAAATGTTTTGGCCATGCAGTGATATGTTTTCTTATATGGTGGAAGTTGTGTGTGGAAGTTCTTACAGTTTACTTCATAGCAACTGAAGGAATTTTTTTACAGCTATCTTTGCTGGAAAATATTTGTATCATTTCTTTTAGTATGGGTTTAGACTAGACACAATTATATGACATTTTATTATTGTGCTTTAATGCAACTCATTGTGTAAAAAGTTCACAGAGCTTCTCAAAGCAGTATGTGTGTGTATTTATACATATAAAAATTTATGTATTTTGTGCTGTGTATATACACACTACACACGTGTACACCTGTACACACTGTAAACTTAAAATATCTGTTTTAAGCTTTGGAGAAGAAGAAGAAAGTATGTTCTGACTCAGAAGCTTCAGACTCCTCCTCCAGTGCATCAGGCTCTTCAGAAACTTCATCTGACAGTGAAGCTGAAAATGAAAGAAGCAGAAGAAGAAAGCGTAAAAGAAGAGCTAAAACCAAACAATCAAGAAAACGAAGAAAGGAAGAGAGGAAGAAAGAGGATCCAAGGTGCAAGCGAACCTCAAACCAAAGACGGTGACTAGTCTCTTAAATTTAAGAATTTCAGAGAAATCTGAGAAATCCTACTTAGTTTTCATGAAGTACTCAAGCAATGAGGATGAAAATGCTTTTATTTAAGTTTGGATTTTTATGCTTGATTTCTATAAAGCAAAGCCAACCAACCAAAAAAACCCCTAAAGCTGAGCTTGTTGAGTAGATTTTTCCATGAAATAGTTCAAGATCTTTGTAGATGGAAGCTAGAGCAACTTTGAAATGAGTAAGTCTCAGCATGTTAAGGTATCTGGGACTCAGTATACCTGTGTTAAAGTCAGACATTAGGCAAATAATAGATCTTTGATATGTATTTGATTATATTTTAAAAATATTTCTTGACAAATGGCAAATTAAAATTATTTGCTGTAAAGCAAGAACTGAACCTTCTTTCAAATAATAGTGCACCATCCTTCCTTTAGCCTAAAATGGGTTGTTAATGAAACACATTTTGGTTGTTAAGCCTTCTTGGAGTTTGATGCATCATGTGGACTTGTTTTGGAATTCACTTTGAAAAAGTGGTGTTTATCAGTTGACAGTTAATTTTGATTTATCAACTTATTTTTCCCCATAGCAGCCTTTCTGACAAGAGTGATATAACAGAAAAAGCAGTCGATGTTAGCACAAAGAGGGACAAACCTGTGGTACGTCCTGAAGAAATTCCTCCAGTGCCTGAAAACAGATTTTTGCTAAGAAGAGATGTGCCTGTTGTCAATGTAGAACCTGAACCGTAAGGAAAATTGAGCTTTCTTATTAATGTTGACTTGGTGGAAATTATGCATAAAATTTTCCTGCTAATGTTCTATTACTAGTACTGATAGCAAATGATGGCTGTAGTGTCAGAATTTTTAAATGAGGTAATTTAATTGCCCTTTTTACAGTTTTCTGTGTAATATTCCTTACAACCTATGTCAGGGTTTTTCAGTGAGATCTAATGAGTTGATTTCATTGGTCCTTAAGGATCATGCACGTTATGGCCTTAAACTCAATTACAGATGATGCAAAAAAATGAGTGAATACTTCCGAAAGAACTTTTGCAATGTAAACCACGGCAAATATTTGATTGCAAGGGAAGTTTGGGATTGGGAGAGGCGATTTTTCATCTTTCTTAGATTGAAGAAGAAACTTTGGTTCAAAATCAGTCAAACTAGAATTTTATGACCCATCTATGATTTTTGAGAATAAGAGAAAATCCTCTTCTTTTGATATAAAAGAAGTCACGAGTTCACAAGTTACTTTCAATTTGTGTGTTGTACCTCTACTAAACTGCAATTAGGTTCTTTTTCTATCAAATTTCTTCACTTTTGGACTTACATGAGCTAATACATTACATTGCCAGATACCTCTAAAACCAGGTTTTTTGTTTTGTTTTTTTCATTTCAGTTAATGGTGTAGTCTGCTGTAAGCCTTTTCTTGAAACTTTACTTTACTCATGTTTCCAAAGCCTTAGTAATTGCTTCTTTCGAGGATATTACACAAATTGTAAAGGAGTGCTGATTTACTTCTTGTTGCTTGGGAAAGAAGCAAGGTTTTAGAACCTGTGGACTGTTGTGAATTACCATTCCCTATGCTAAGACATTGAATTTGTGTAACTGCTGAGACCCTGAAACTCTTCTGTCCATGTTGTCTTCATGATTTGTGCACCAAACACAAGTTAACCTCTTTAGAAAAGCCATGTACCACTTTAACAGAGTACTTTGCAAGTTCATTGTTAGCATTTATTTACAGGTAGAGAGGTCAGGTAGGCTACACATTTGGTTGAAAGCAAGTATATGTTGATTTGCCTTTCATTGCAGAACTGTGCGTGTCTTGCTTTATTTCTTGGAGAATTCACTGAATTCTTAGTTCTGCCATCTCAAAATAAATGAATATTTTGCATTATTAACTTAAAATTAGTTTAAGTTAATTCTTTGGGTTTTTTCCATGTAAGCTCATATTTTATTAATTTATGTAGGAAGCTTCTTGATGCTACGCCAATTCTGACTGACCAGAAACCATCAGTCTCTAAATCTGGACGAAAAATTAAAGGAAGAGGCACAATAGTATGTGACAAACTTTATTTTATCCCCCCCCCTTTCCTCTCAGAGTATCTTCTCTGACCTTTGAATTTCCTTGGAGGCTTTGTGTGACACTTTAACATGTTGTAGATGAAATACTGTGGTCAGGTAGTTCATTTTATAACGCTTTTCTTGCTATGTTTCTTGTTACTGTCTTTTTACTTTAAGATTGTTTGGGAATGCTTACTCCTCAGCTACGAGAAGTCTTCAAACATAAGAATAAATTTATTTCTTTTTAAAGATTGAAATTAATTCAGCCAGATTTGTCCCATGCGAGCCACAACATCTAAAGTAATGGGAAGTGACAACAGCTTTTACTCTTCTCCACTCATTGGATTTTCTTGCTGTTTCTGTTAAACATTAGGACTATAATGCATAACAGTAGGCAAAGCTGTTCTATAGTGTCCTAAGTGTATACAGCCCTTTCAGATGTATATTGCTTGTTCTCCCAAGTTCTGGTATTTGCATCTCCTGATGGTTGTGCATATATTGCTGAGAAACAACAGTTTTGTTGGCAACTTTGGCAGAATCGCTTACCTTGTTTGTTCTGCTTTTTGTTATTTTAAGTCAACCTTTTGTTTCCTTTTTTTTAGCTACTTAATGTAGTTTCTCAAATTTCATCAGCTGTCCTGGCTGAGACCAAAGTGTTGTAATTTCATAGGTGACACTGCATGGGCAAGAAGTTACTTCTTTGCAGTGCTGGTTATGAAGCGTTTTTGCAGATGTGCAGATTTGGTCCTTTTTTCTTTTTTTCTACCTACCTCTCTGAAGACTGCCACTGTTTAGGCAGATTTTATTTCTACTTCAGATCTTTGATATCCTGAGAACTTTTGCCTTAATTCCGCTGTACTCAAGCAAAAGTCTTCTTGTCTCTTCTCTAATAACTTAAAATACAGGCCCCAAAACACTGCACAGCTGCACTGTTGTTTTTGAGTCAGTAGAAGAGGGAGAAAGTAAAAAAAGCTTTCATAATTGTGCATTTGATTCTACTGTACTTCATATTGTAGCATGCCATGACTGACCATATTCTTCCCCTTTAGAATGTTTTCCTGGATCAGTTTAGCAGGCAGCATTTGGGTGACCATAAACCAAACCAAGGCCAGATTTTTCTTGCAAGTGGAAGTCCTCAAAAAAAAAAAAAAATTATATATAAAGATCAGTATCTGTATAGCTGAAGACACTTTTCATTAGAGTAGTCTTAACCAAGACTCCTCTGAGCATGATTTTCTTATGTGATAGCTGCTGGATTTGAGAAGTAGTTTTCTACTGATCCCCGTGATGCAGTTATTTTAAGCCACAAAATTAATGGCTTAGATGGCCATAGCATGGACCAAGGTATTGTAGTGTTTGAGCCTCGCCTGAGAACCAACCCTTATTTGCCAGCCTTGACATTAAATCTGATAGCTGTCTTTGCTGCATCTGACAGCTTTCATTTCTATTTGACACTTGTGATATCCACTAAAGGAAGCCTTTTAAACAGACTGTTTTGAAATATTTATGTAAATAAAGATTTCTGGAAAAACAGCTTAAAGCTGAGTGGAACTGGCTTTTGCCAGGGATTTGGGTGTGTGTCTGGTTTTTCATAATTTTGGCACCCTCTTGGCAAAATTAAGAATAAAACCCAGTAATACCAGAAATAATTTAGGGCTAGTGATTAGTTGGAGAACTACGTTTTTCTGCCATCTCTAATAGTCTGATTAGCAACAGTTTCTACACAGGGTGAACTTTTTAAATGTTTTTCAAAATAATCATTTGTAGTTTTGAATCCTCTTAGGTTCTGAGAGACTCCTGAGTATAATATGAGAGAATTAGGGAGGTCCGTGAAACCTTCGCAACCTATTATACACCATTCATTTGTAAAAGCTGGTTTTTTTAGTCACTGATTCAGCTCAAACATGTTCATGGCAGGTTATCTTTTGGGTTTTTTTTTAATATAAACAATGTCTTAAAGACTTCTGCCTGTAGTTAACTGAATAAATCAATACATGCATCTTTCTGGTTTTATTCTGGGGGGCAATTTTTTTTTTCTTTCACATTTTGATTGCTTTTATAAGTGGCTCAAAATAATTGAGTAAAATCCAGATGTTTTTCTTTATTGAGTCAAGGAGCATCTAATTTCCTCACAGAATTTACCTAAGTGTGTATCCAACTGGGTAATGGAAAATAATGAGTTAGCAATATTAGAGTTTTTTCTCTGCTGCACAAGTAGCTCTTATTGCCTCCTTAAATGCTGTGCCTAAGCATAATTTGTTAAGTGTGAAGCTTCATTACACTTTTGTGAAAGACTTTTTTTTTTTTTTGCTCTCTTCGAAGGCGTCTTAAACTGGATTCCCATTTCTGAAGAGCTGAACAGCAGTAACTTTTGAAATAGGGCTTGTCTTTAATCATACAAGCAGTTAAGTGTTTGCTAACTGAAGTAAAACATCTGTGCTTTAGTATCCTGAAAAAAAAGTTGGTTATCTGCGGTAATTGTGTTATTCCAAAAGGTGTTACATAAAGGGAATCCATGACCTCTTCCTTGATTCTTCCTTTTACATTTTGAAAAAATGGGTTAGCTGCTGGCCTCTCTCAAGCTTTGTGAAATGCTGTCAGAGTATAAAAAGATACAGTTAGCTATGTAATCCAGTCTCATATGTGGGATATATGCATACCAAAAGTGGCTATTTTTGGTAGGAAATCTAGAGTTTGTTTTCTTCATGGACTTTGCATAGATAATGTTGTCTGGCTTGTGTTATGAAGATGCATGCAAAATCTGTGTAAGAGACACCATATATTTTCTATATTATCCAATCTCTTTTAAAGAAAAATATATTATGTAACCATCTATCTTTGCTTTCATAGCGATATCACACCCCACCTCGATCACGGTCATGTTCTGAATCCGATGATGATGACAGCAGTGAGACCCCTCCTCACTGGAAAGAGGAAATGCAGAGATTACGAACATATAGACCCCCTAGTGGAGAAAAGTGGAGTAAAGGCGATAAGTAAGATCCTTACTACAAATTTAAAATGTCTTGTTTTTTTACACAAGCTTTAACAGATTGTGTAGATCTAGCATGTTATTCGTGTTTGAATAAAAAATGTAAATATCTTTGTGTTTAAATACATTCCATTTAAATTCCAAAAGTTAGAAGTGGAAAACTTCTCATAAAATCTTTCCACTTTGCTAATGTGACACCAGATGAACACACGCTGAAAAGTGTCAGAAGGTCAGAAGAGTAGTTTCTGATGGTGCCATCTTGGGTACTTCTTAAATAAGTAACTAATGGACCTGTCCAGTTTCCTGTTGCTTTCCATAGAGCTAGTCATGTCAGATTTCCTTTAGCCTCAAACTTGGTTATATGGTTTCTTTGGATACCAAGTAAGACATTCGAATCCACCAATCCTGTATTGTTCTAGTTACATATTCTTTCTGCAGCTGCAAACTCTGTGATGGAAGCCAGCTCTCCAGAATTTCTGATGAGTTGATACCAAATATAAGCTTCTATCAAATTATGATAGATAACCCTTAAAAGGAAAACTGAAGAATATTGTATATAACCATTACTGAATAATTGCAAATGTTTCTGATAGGTTTTTTTTATATACTGAGTGTATTCAGTTTATTGCTGTATTGCAGCATACCAGCTAAAAGAATACTAAATAAGATGATGTTTTATAATTTGTATTTAAACGTGGTTTAAGAATCCTGTAGTGGTAGAGGTCAAAGTCCTGTGGACTAGGGTAGTTAAAACATTAAATCTCTGCACTGGTTATACAATATGCAAAATTTGCTGACATAGGCTGATTAATTTCTTATAGAGAAGTAGCTCTCTTGATAGTAACGTAATTCTGCATCTTAACAAGCGTAACAAGCTCAGTCAAAACACAATTGTCTGGTAGTAAAGGGTGTGTGTGTTTAATTTTTTTTTTAACTTAATTAATTGCATAGGAGGTGGGGAAAATACTTATTTTATCTGAAGTTTTTAAATAATTTCCACTTAGTGTGGGGCTTGCTTGTTTGTTTTCTAGGTTGAGTGACCCATGTACAAGCAGATGGGATGAAAGAAGTGCATCCCGGAGATCAAGATCCTGGTCACATAACGGTTACTCTGATCTAAGTACTGTGAGATATTCTAGCCATCACAAAAAGCACAGAAAAGAGAAAAAGAAGGTGAAACATAAAAAGAAATCTAAAAAGCAGAAGCATTTCAAGAAGCACAAGCAAACAAAAAAAAAGAAAACATCAGCCTCATCAGATGTAGAATCCTCTCATTCCTTCCTCAGGAGGACAAAATCATCTTGTGATCGTGAGAGGAAATCTCGTTCTTCTTCGTTGTCTTCTAGACATTCATCCAGAAGAGGCTGGTCTAATGATAAGGAAGACCAGAGCTCATCCACTTTATCAAGCAGAGGGACTCGATCATACTACAGGTCCAGGTCCAGATCCAGATCTAGGTCTAAATCAAGATCTTATTCCCGAAGAAGTTCTAGATCAAGATCAGCCTCTAAATCATCGCGTTCTCGAAGCAGGTCAAGGTCAAGTTCTAACCCTAGGCTTCAAAAGACGGTTTCCAATTCTCCACGAAATATTTCAACACGATTAAATGAAAGTAAGTTGAACAAGACTGCTGAGCCTGTAAGAGCAGTTATACTCCCAAGTGATAAAATTGTCGTACCACCAGTTGTCCCAGAAAACCTCCCTGTTATACCCTTAAGTGATAGTCCACCGCCTTCGAGGTGGAAACCTGGGCAGAAACCATGGAAGCCATCTTATGAGCGAATTCAGGAAATGAAAGCTAAAACAACCCATTTAATACCTACACAAACTAATTACAATTTAGTAGTCATTAAAGAGGCCAACACTTCTTCCTCATATCATAAGCGACAAAGGAGTTCAGACAGTGATCGAAGCGGTTATTCCAAATATCATAGTGACAGAAGCTCAGACAGTTGGCTGAGATCAAGAAGCAGGTCTTCTCGAAGTAGGTCATACTCAAGATCTTATACAAGATCTAGAAGTCCATCTAGCTCTAGGACAAAATCTCGTTCTTCTGGTAGATCACCATCACTGAGTAAATACCGCAGTGACAGGTCAGGTTATAGCGAGTCAACATCTTATTATTCCCTTAGTGATGATGATACGCACAGAAACAAAAGAAAATCCATGTCAAGTGATCAAAAAGCTCGGTCTCTTAAACTGAGGCAAGAAACGAGCTCTGAAAGTACTCTCCCTTATAAGTGTACAAAAGACTACGATGAGTCTTCTCAAGGATTGAAAGAGAGTGACAGTTTATCATCTTCAGACTTCTCTACTGACAGTGAGCGTTCTGCCAAAATGAAAGTAGTCCAAGAAAAAGAAGGCCGTTTTCAATTAGAAGGAGATACTCAGAAACAGGATAAAAATAGCTTAAGTTCTGAGAGAGGGGAGGAGGAATCCAAGTGTGAGCGGGATTCTGATCATGCTAAAAAGAAAGCAGCTAAAGAGAAATCTTCTGAGCAGCCTAGAGGTGGTGCAAAAACTAAACGAAAATCCTATTCAGGTAGTAAATGGGACTCTGAATCAAACTCCGAAAGAGGAGAGGCAAGGCATAATAGGGGAGACTCCAGACCCTCCTCCAGTAAAGAAGAAGGAGAGGCCACATCAGGATCTGATACAGAGCTTAGCGTTACCAAAAGGATAAAAAAACAGTCAAATTCTTCAGAAGGCTTTCTGGATTCTGATTGTGCATGGAAGACAAGCAAACAGTTGTCATCTTCTGAATCTGAGAGTTCTTGTTCTAGCTCAACAAACATTAGAGGAAAGTCAAAAAAACACAAACATGGATCGAAAAAAACTCTTAAAAAATCACATTCCAAAAAAGCAAAAGAAAAATCAAAAGGGAAAAAGGAGAAGAAACACAAAGTTCAGAAAAGAAAAGAAATGTTTCACTGGCAGCCCCCACTGGAGTTTGGTGAAGAAGATGATGATGAGATAAATGAAAAGCCGGTTACCAAGGATGATAAAAAAGAAAAGCCGCTTACCAGGGACATAAAGGATAAACAAGTGTATGAAAAGGATGAAATAGTCAAAGATGAAATGGGAAATGGTGAAAAGTCTTGTGCGGATGAAAACCTTTTAGGTAAAAACACTACATGTGGTGCCTCACCAGATCACAGTAACCTTAATAAAGATAGCATTGAAACAAATGCTTCAACCAGTATTTTAAACTCAGGAATAAATGTGACCACTTGCAAGAATGAGATTAAACAAGCTGAAGAAAGTAACCAGAACGGATTGGAAGATGTTATTCAGACAGATGACAACATGGAGATTTGTACTCCAGATCGTAACTCACCAGGGAAGGTTGATGTGGACATTTTGTCTCCTGTCGTTCTCACCGCTAAACCTCAGGCTTTAAGTGCTAGTATAAACAAAGATTTACAGGTTGAGACCCCTGAACAAGATGCTGTCAAACTGGGAAACAGTATTACGGACTTTATTAATATTAAAGAAGAAAAAGAAACGGGAAGGCAAGAAAGTAACTCTGTCCCTGTGTCTTTAAACTGTAGTTTAAAATGTGAAATTACTGAAAATACACAGAGCAATATGATAGATAATAAGTGGAAGCCTTTGCAAGGTGTTGGTAATTTACAACCAGCAACAATTAGTACTGCTGCAGAAGTTAAGAATGTAGCTTCAGCACCAGAGCCTAAACCAGCAGGTTTAAGAATTGAAATAAAAGCTAAAAATAAAGTAAGGCCTGGATCTCTGTTTGATGAAGTTAGAAAAACAGCACGGCTAAATCGAAGGCCAAGGAACCAAGACAGTTCCAGTGAAGAAGAATCTCCAAGTAGAGATGACAATAGCCCATCCAGGAGTCTCAGTAGGTCACGAAGTAAATCTGATTCTAAATCCAGACACAGAACAAGGTCCATATCTTACAGTCACTCAAGAAGTCGGTCCCGAAGTTCTACATATTCATATAGGTAAGAAGTTTTTGCTATTCCCATGGCCTACCATGTTAACTTGAAAGTTCGATAATTTTAAGGCATGTTTTTCTTTTTCAGCTCATGTTTTTCTTCTAAACAGCACTGTTTCACTTACAAAATATGGAATAAATACTCAGCTTAAGCATTATAAAGCTTTGTCTTTTTCGCTTCCTGTTTTCTGCTGATCTTCTCTTCAGTTGTATTCTGTTTTGTGCTTTTCAAAGTTGTTCATTGATTGTAGGTCAAGAAGCTATACAAGAAGCCGAAGCAGAGGATGGTATAGTAGAGATCGGTCAAGAAGTCGAAGTAGTTCTTACCACAGTTACAAGAGTCGTAGGTAAGTTTTTCTCTAATTGGAGATAGTGTTGGGGTGTGTTACGAAACCAGTAAATTAGGCACAGCAGTCCAATGCTTCAATCTCTGAGCAAGTTGGAAATGTGCTTAGCTATGCATACTGCAGTCTGAAGTATCTACTTGAAATGTGCAAGTTCAAACAGTCAGATTTCAAATTTCCTGTTACTGAAAAATAATTTTGTTTAATGGTTTGTAGTATGGATGATGAGGGATTCTGAGCAAAACATGTTCCTTTCCTCTCGCTTACCCTCTCCCCCGCTCTCTTCAGCACTTGTTTCTGATTAACTTGAAATGTCTCTGTGTTCTTGTTTTTGTCAGTCGAACCTATAGTAGAAGTAGATCCAGAAGTAGTTCTTACGGTCATCACAGTCGATCCAGGTATGGGTAATAGTTTTATGTAAACTCTGCAATAAATGTACTACTTATAAAAATGTCTTAGTATAAGAATACCCCTTTATCTATGGTACTTAAAAATACAGTATCACGATAGCAACTTGAATCAAAGCAAAATCAACATAGGACCCTTTTAAAAGCTGAAAATAACCAAATCATCCTGGCATTAGTTAGAGGTGATGATATGAGATAAGTAATAGTGAACACGTTTCCCTTTACTGTTAAAATAAAATTGACTTATAAATGGAATAACTTTGTTACTTGTTTTCAGAAGTATTAGCAAACAAGATTTTTACTGCATCTACAATTTGTAGAGAAAACACAAAACTTTTTAAATGTGTAATAAGATTTTTTTTCCTAGACTAATAAATTTGAGATTTTTACTGTTGTTTTGAAGATACTTTTTCTTGTGTTTAAACTTTTATAAAATGTAGAATTATTGTTTGCCACGTCCTTCAAAAGTAGTTTCTGTATAGCCACTCATCTCTGAATATAAATGTTTTTAAAATACATTTAAAATAAATATCATTTTAGACAAGAAATTTTAACTTTACAATTACTGTCTTTTCTCTTTAAAGTAGGTCATACACGTATGATAGTTACTATAGCAGAAGTCGAAGTAGAAGTAAAAGGAGTGACAGCTATCGAAGATCTAGAAGTTATGATAGGCGATCCAGGTATGTTTTTGCTAGCATGACTTTGTCACTGTATTTATGCATAAATACATACTTACGATGTTCATGAAGGCTAATGGTTCCCCTCCTCCCCCAGCATAGAAAATACCTTGTTACCAAAAGTAATAATTAAAACCAATTAAAATTGGAGTAAGTGTGTGAGTGAGGAAATTGGAATTTCTGACATACTAAATTTGAGGCTAGGGAAGAAACTAAGATAAGAAAGATTTGAGAAGGCTCCATTTGATTTTATGTATGCATTCAAAATAAGCACATTTGGGGTTTTTTAATAATTTTAAATGTTTTAATAATTTTAAATAATTTCCTTAAAAACTACAATGAACTAGCTCTCAAGACTTAAATCAAGTGTCCTGTTATGAATTAAAAGCTACCTGGTATGCAAAGAATTCCATTTAATGGTAAATTCTTTCTAGTGAGACTGAAAAGTGGATTTTAAAATAAAAAATGTGGAAGGGAAATTAAAAATTGCAGTGTTATCCAGAATTAATTTTCAACTTCCCAGAAGGTACTTTGAAAGAACATTTTACCTGCAAATCCAGCATGCTTCTGATGAATTCAGGATAAATTTTCTTCTACTCAGTCTGGTGGAATTATATAGGCGTAAGCAAGCACATTTCACAAAGACCAGAAGTTGAACAGGAGAGAGAGAGAGAGATTTACATAGATACTGAATATCAGTGATGATTTGTTTTGTACCTTGTAATATATCCCACACTGGTCAGTGGTAAACCAGGCAGATCTCTAAGACTGCTGTAAATTTTCATCCTCTGCTGTCCTCATACTCATTTTTTTCACAACTTTGTACCAACTCTTAATGGACTTTGCTCTCGCCCATTTCCCCATCTAGTTCTGACAGTAAGACAACTTTCATCTTGTTTTTGAGGGGAAATGAATGCAATTTAATGAAGAATGGAGAAATAGACTTGGTTTAGGATGTTGGGAAGCTTCAGGGAAACAAGGTTGGATTAGGATATGCTCATCTTTCATTTAGAAAGCTTTCCTTACAGGCACGAGGCTAGAAAATCTCCAGTGAAAGTTTATTCTGTGTAATTTGAATATGCCCTGTAGCTTGTCTGAAACCATCTGGAGTCTATCTTGACATTTGGCCAGGTGCTGAGCTTAGAATTCTTCTGGATAAGCCAAAACATTTTAATTTACAACTTCCACTCTGCAGACACTCACACAGTCCTGTTGTTGTGTGTGTCCTAGGCCTAATTCTTAAGACCCTTCTTCAAATGAAAAACTGCAGCATATAAAGCAAGGATTTGTGAAATTGTCTTAGTTGAGAAACACTTGCAATATAAAATTATGTTTGTTAGAATACACTTCTCAGTCAGCTATTAGCATTTACAAGATCAGTTATTTTGGATGATTTCTTAGCTGTATCAGAGAAAGCAAGAAACTCTGTAGTTACAAACACACTTTGGCTTGGGTTACACAGGGTGTTCATCGTGTAAAGTTACTGATTATTTTAATATTGAGTGTACTTTAATGAATGCTTCAGTTATATGAAATATGATCCTGTGAAAGACTGTATGCTTTCTTCTTGTCTCTTGCGTGTCTGTCTTGACAACTTTTTTACGTGATGCAATTTTGAATTTGAAGCTCAAAATACAATTTGAGGCGTTTTAATGTTTTCTTTGTAGATCTTATGGCTCTGACAGTGAAAGTGATCGCAGTTACTCTAAGAATCGAAGTCCCAGTGAAAGCAGCAGATATAGCTGAAAACTTTTCTTTGATGATGGAAACTGTATTTAATAATTTTTCCAGTGTTATGTTAAAAAAACTGTTTCTACAGTGTCACAAGTGAAGTTGAAGGGTGATTACTGAGTTAGCTGAGACTTTACCATTTAACAGCGAACTCACTTGACTGACTGACTACTTAACGGAGAGAAGTACTGAGCTCAACTCCACGGGTTTGTTTGGTTTGTGTTATGTCAAGTGCTACTTTTACAAAATAGAAAAAAAAAAAACAGTTTTATTTCTTTGAATTGGATTTTCCAAGCCATGAATGACACTTAGGTGAATTGGCTGCCACCGCTTTTCTGGGTGCAGCAATCAGTACTCTCTTCAAGTATGTTTATAAACACCTTAGGGCTTTCTGCCTGTTACTATTAAATATATGCTATCAACTGTAAAACTGTGAAGAAAACTTCTTACAAAGGCTGCCATTTCTAGTTTATTAAAAAGCTTTTTTTGATACTGGAAGATGGGTTCCATGCTGTCTTGTTTGTTGATTATTGCATTATATACAGTGTATACACAACAGCTAGCTGATGAAAACAAAGACTGCCACTCTGTCTTAATTCTTACTGAGCTGTGATATTACAGAAGTCTGCTGAAAAGGGTGAGATTATACACAGTGGGAATTGTCAAACTGACAAGCAGTGAGCAAAAGTGTGATGAATGAGTTTTGATCTTAATATCTAACTTGTCTAAACTTTTATGTTTAAAAGTGACTTTTGTGATAAATATCAATGTTCTTAAGAGTCTAAGGAAAGTATTTCTAAACACTTTTTGAATTTAATTTCAATTCATATTACAGTGCTTGGCATACTTCAACACGTTTTAAAGTTGAATGTTGTAAACCGTTGAGTATATCATGAGTTTCTTCAAAATGCTTTTTTAAAAACATACATGATAATAACTTTTTGAGAAAACAAACCATAATGGTTCCTTTATAAAATGTCTGTAGAGGTATCCCATTTACCACAGGGAATATCGGATATTGATATTGCAGATATGGAACTATCTATTGTTAAAGTGATATGACTACAAAAATACTGGTATGCCTGATAAAAAACATGGATAATACTTCCAAAGTAAAGTTTAATGCCAAAAATGACTCCATGTTCCAGGTAAATGGTTTGCAAAAACCCCATAGATTTAAGCAGAAAAGCGTTGAGTAATTTTTGCAATAATCTAATTGAGTTGATTTAAAAAAATTTGTAAAGTTTTTCAGTGTTTAGAACGTTGTGTACTAAGAAACAGTTTTTTAATGGCATAATGTAATCTGAAAAGTGGGGTCTGTAGTGAAAACACAGACTAACCTAGCTTTATTAGAGCTAATGAGTACTGTTGTATTATAATAGTTTTCATTACTGACTTTCTGTAATATCTTGAGACGCTTTCATTTTCTCAAATGTTTTCAAATATTGAAAATGATTTTTTTAAATCTCATCAGGACACAACAGCTTTGAAAATTAAAAGTGGTAATTTCCTGCTTAGACGTCAATTCGTACTGTCTCTTTGATTGAATTAAGCTATCCAAAATTAGCTTTTGGTACACTTCTGAAACATGAAAAGAAAGTTCAAAGTGAAGTTTGAAGACTGTAATGATGCCCTCCATTTCTCTCCATGAACAGCTGAATAAGACATTTGTACACAGGTTCTTAAAACTGAATTTGTCATATAGGTTTTTCACTTTGTAGAAGAACCCAAAATTCTGGACTTAGACCCTTCCTACTCTTGTAGTTCAGTGAAAAAGGTGTGCACGTAATCCTTTTAAATCAATATTTTGTAAGCTTCTTATGCTTTTTAACATGAAGTACGTTTATTATTCAAGTCAGTATACATTTACAGACACGTTTCTAGCAGTAGCAGCCATTTCAGAGTCCTGAACAAATATTTCATTGCTAACTCAAGATAATGCTGGTTGCCGTTTCATAGTTTTAAATACAAATGTAACTTGTTTTTTTTCCTTACTGAGAAAATAGAACTAGTGGGCTAGCAGTATAACAAAATACACAAATGTAAACATTACCATTCAATACTTATTAGAGAAAAAAGCACTCAAGAATCGGACTTTGTCCTGTTTCAGATCCGAGTTGACTTCTTATGTTTAAGGCCAGGAAAAGGTAATAGAAATATGGTCAGTCAATTAATGGTAGTTGTCCAAAATTACTGCAGTGTCACTAATGTCTATTTCATATCTTGAATTGAAGCTTTATAAAGAAGTTCCATCAGGTGGATGGTTGGGGAGGAGTGTGAGGGAAGTGGGCAGGGAGTATTTTTACTTGGTGAAGTCTGTTAAATTGTGCTGCAGATAGAAAATGTACCCCTGAGCTGGTTTTCTAATGTCGGTCTATGTTTTTGGAATTTTGTTATTCAAAAGTAGTTGCTGTTTGTAAAATAAACTTTTGTACATATCTGCAAGTGCTGTTTTCTCTACATCTGGAACAATCCGTTGCTGCTTGAGGGAAACAGGCAGGAAAATTAAAAATATAGTTCAATTTCTGTATCCGCTTTTGTCCCTTGCAAGGCTCTGTACAAGTTGCCTTTCCTTCTCCTGACCTACATAGAGAATGATTCCTCAGCAAGACTCTGTGCTGGGTTTACATAATAGTCGTCATCGGAACAAATATTTTGAAATTTCCAAGTGATTTGAGGTCTCACCATTTCCTGAAGATATGTAAAAAGTTCCTATCCTTTGTGAAAAGCTACACTTAACAGATCTACGCGGAAATCTCTAAATGTGCTGAGTTTAACTACTTTGCTAAATATTCTTTCCCAAATACACATTCCCACATCATTTCCGTAGCATATTGGAAATGTGGTATTAGTTCGGGTCAGCAGATGTAGTGGCTCAGCAGACTAATCCATTAGTCTTTCAGACCTTCTGTTCCAGAAAAACTGGATTTCATCGGAAAATACTGGCTTTGTCCTAATGGAAAGGCTAATTGCCTTGGTCTAAGGTAAAAAGGACAAGTGGAAGTGTTTCCTTCTTCGATTTAGTCTCTAGCAAGATGCAGTTAAGATGGCATTTCCCAAATTTTGGAGCGCTGCCTTTGAGGAGGGATAAGAAATCCTAGGCAGGAAAAGTAGGAACTCCAGGTGATAGGAGCTATATAGTGATGAAAGGTGTGAAAAACCAGTAAGATAGGGGAAGGGTGAACGGCTACATCAAAGGCAGCAGACAAAAACAATAGTATAAGGGACGTTAAGACAACCTCCGCGTCGCACTGTAGTGTGCAACAGTCTGCGTCTTCCTTGTTAAAACACCCTTTCTTTTTAAAGGCATAATGTTGCTTTTTGTGCTTAAAAAGCCATATTCTATGCAGAAGTTCAACATCAGGATCACGGGGCTGCTCTCAGGTGCTGCGGACCTGCTGCCGTAGAGGTCGAGCCGTCACCTTGAGCCGGCTCCGGCAGCAAGCCGGAGTTGCAGGGAGGAGGCTGGAGGCAGGGCTGGAGCAGGCAGCGTTAAAAATAGAGTGGCTGGCACCCGGTTATGTATTGCTCATTAGTGACATTTTTCTATTAAAATAAGTCTTAAATCCTGCAAGGTAGTAAAATTATTGCTCAAGTATAAGTGGTTTCAGCAAAAAAAAAAAACCCAAACCACACTAGGGGGGAGTTCTAAATAAGGTTAGGTCTGTGTGTCTCTGGTTGTTTTGGCAATAGATGATCCACTACGTAGTACACAGAATATTGTGGTGTGGCTCTGTAAGAGCAAGCGTTCTGTCTCCGGTTGCAGGTGAGCGACTTAACTTGCCTGGAATAAGACAATATTAAATGAACCATCTGGCTGTCAAACAACTAGTTCTTATAAAGCACGTATTTACAAAGTGACAGCATAAATGCCCTTTTCCTACAATATCGATACGCGGAGAGATTTCCTTCCTACTGTATCACTTTTAAACAAGGGCTATTTGTGTCCTTGCACTCGAGGGTAAGAAGCATTTAAAGTGCTCTTTCAGAAGATCACCAAGTATCTGACAGTGTATTAAATTTCTGTTGATGGCTTTGTGTGGTTCGTGATGATCATGCTTACAGGTTGGAGCAGAACACAGTATTTAGATGACCTTGAGCTGCACTCTGGAATCCGTCTGGTGTAATTTCCAAACTGAACGCTGCCTGGGATTTTAAATCGTGAGAAGATAAAGCTTTGTGTGCTCCACTCCTACTTAACAGCCATATAAATATTTTTTTTTAATATGCTTGTAAACAGTGATGATTTTCCACCTGGTTTTAAAATGCTTTATCTGCTTAACTGTGGTAAAATATAAAATGCATAAACAATTAAAGGGACCCAGTCTTGAATGATGTCTATGTAATCCCTCTGAAGTAGATAGGATTGCATGTGTGAAATCAGACGGTCTGTGGCAGTTTTCGGGTTATTTTTAATGAAGGCAATATTTCAAAGTCACAGTGGCTGCACAGAGAGGGGGTGGGCATTAATTTGGTATCGATATTTCTGCTGTGATGTGTATCTGTCCTTGAAAGAGCGTGGTGCAGCCCAAGAAAACCGATGTCCATACCCAAAGGATGGTCTAAGCTCAATGTAGCTTGTGAACATTTGCAGCTCCCACTCTGCCATTACGTCCTAGTCCTGGCCTTAGGCTGCAGAATTCCTTAATGAATTCCTTAATTCAGCCAGGAAGGGGCTGTCCTTCCTCTTGGGCTTTCTTTTTCTTCCAGCCACCCAGTGTCTGCGTAGCTTCTCCATGATGCATTTTGGAAAATGAGCCATAAAAAACACGAGGAGGATTGGGAACATCCTCGGGAATAGGAGAGGGTAAGGGGCTGATGGCTGCGGTTCCAGGAGGAACACCCAGCTCTTTTGGGAATGTACCGGTGAGATGAAGCAGTTGACGGAGGCTCTTGGGTCTTCTGGTGCTGGTCAAAGAAGTAGGTTTAAGGAAAAATGAAAAAGCAAACTGTATTGGGTTTGTGTGGCAAGGTTTTGGTACTGGGGGTGGGGGTACAGGGGTGGCTTCTGTGAGGAGCTGCTAGAAGCTTCCCCCATGTCCCACAGAGCCGATGCCAGCCGGTTCCAAGACGGACCCACCACTGGCCAAGGCCGAGCC